CTTTATCAAGTTATGTTACACTCAGTGTAGAGCTTTATCAAGTTATGTTACACTCAGTGTAGAGCTTTATCAAGTTTGTTACACTCAGTGTAGAGGTAGACTCTCCTGAAGTATACCTGGAGAGTATACCTGGAGAGTATACCTGGAGAGTATACCTGGAGAGTATACCTGGAGAGTATACCTGGAGAGTATACCTGGAGAGTATACCTGGGGTCAACGCCCTATGCCAGTACTTAGCTCCCATAGGTCGATTGGCAGCGCACTCAGCTCACACAACCAGTTCCGGGGGTCGATCCCCGGTACGGCTGGTAAACATTACGATGTGTATCCATATGACACCTGCTATCCCTGTTCACCTAGCAGTATGTAGGTACCTGGGTGTTAGTCACCTTACATCTGCTGTCAGTGTTCACCTAGCAGTATGTAGGTACCTGGGTGTTAGTCACCTTACACCTGCTGTCAGTGTTCACCTAGCAGTAAGTAGGTACCTAAGTGTTAGTCACCTTACACCTGCTGTCCCTGTTCACCTAGCAGTATGTAGGTACCTGGGTGTTAGTCACCTTACATCTGCTGTCAGTGTTCACCTAGCAGTATGTAGGTACCTGGGTGTTAGTCACCTTACATCTGCTGTCAGTGTTCACCTAGCAGTATGTAGGTACCTAAGTGTTAGTCACCTTACACCTGATGTCCCTGTTCACCTAGCAGTATGTAGGTACCTGGGTGTTAGTCACCTTACACCTGCTGTCAGTGTTCACCTAGCAGTATGTAGGTACCTGGGTGTTAGTCACCTTACACCTGCTGTCAGTGTTCACCTAGCAGTATGTAGGTACCTAAGTGTTAGTCACCTTACAAACCCGCTGTCCCTGTTCACACTAGCAGTATGTAGGTACCCCGGGTGTTAGTCACCTTACACCTGCTGTCAGTGTTCACCTAGCAGTATGTAGGTACCTGGGTGTTAGTCACCTTACACCTGCTGTCACTGTTCACCTAGCAGTATGTAGGTACCTAAGTGTTAGTCACCTTACACCTGCTGTCCCTATTCACCTAGCAGTATGTAGGTACCTGGGTGTTAGTCACCTTACACCTGCTGTCAGTGTTCACCTAGCAGTATGTAGGTACCTGGGTGTTTGTCACCTTACACCTGCTGTCACTGTTCACCTAGCAGTATGTAGGTACCTAAGTGTTAGTCACCTTATACCTGCTGTCCCTGTTCACCTAGCAGTATGTAGGTACCTGGGTGTTAGTCACCTTACACCTGCTGTCAGTGTTCACCTACCAGTAAGTAGGTACCTGGGTTTTAGGTGACTGGTGTGGGTGGCATCCTGGGGACAAAACTGACCTAATATGCAGGAAATGCTGTACATAACAAGGAACTTTCTATATAGTAGTATGTCATAGGTGTCAGCTATGGTCTGTATAAGTTGTGTCAGGTACTGGTAGTAATAAATATTATTATTATTATCATTATTATTATTATTATTATGGTCTGTATAAGTTGTGTCAGGTACTTGTTCTATCTAGGCTGGAGTATTGCTGCACACTAACAGCACCTTTCAAGGCAGGTGAAATTGCCGACCTAGAAAATGTACAGAGAACTTTCACGGCGCGCATAACGGAGATAAAACACCTCAATTACTGGGAGCGCTTGAGGTTCCTAAACCTGTATTCCCTGGAACGCAGGAGGGAGAGATACATGATTATATACACCTGGAAAATCCTAGAGGGACTAGTACCGAACTTGCACACGAAAATCACTCACTACGAAAGCAAAAGACTTGGCAGACGATGCACCATCCCCCCAATGAAAAGCAGGGGTGTCACTAGCACGTTAAGAGACCATACAATAAGTGTCAGGGGCCCGAGACTGTTCAACTGCCTCCCAGCACACATAAGGGGGATTACCAACAGACCCCTGGCAGTCTTCAAGCTGGCACTGGACAAGCACCTAAAGGCAGTTCCTGATCAGCCGGGCTGTGGCTCGTACGTTGGTTTGCGTGCAGCCAGCAGCAACAGCCTGGTTGATCAGGCGCTGATCCACCAGGAGGCCTGGTCACAGACCGGGCCGCGGGGGCGTTGACCCCCGAAACTCTCTCCAGGTAAACTCCAGGTAATAAATATTATTATTATTATTATTATTATTATTATTATTATGGTCTGTATAAGTTGTCAGGTACTGGTAGTAATAAATATTATTATTATTATTATTATTATTATTATTATAATTATTATTATTATTATTACTATTATTATTATATTTAAGTGTTTAAAGGGTCGACTGGAACAGCGTAGTAAACAGGAGGTGGTACCTGGTTCGATGAGAGGTCCGAAGAATGATCCAAAGGCACACAGGATCCCAAGAATGATCCGAAGGCATGCCAGTGTACAAGGAATGATCCTACGGTACGCCAGGATCCGAAGAATGATCCGAAGGCATGCCAGTGTCCAAGTAATGATCCTACGGTACGCCAGGATCCCAAGAATGATCCGAAGGCATGCCAGTGTCCAAGGAATGATCCTACGATACACCAGGATCCGAAGAATGATCCGAAGGCATGCCAGTGTCCAAGTAATGATCCTACGGTACACCAGGATCCGAAGAATGATCCGAAGGCATGCCAGTGTCCAAGTAATGATCCTACGGTACGCCAGGATCCCAAGAATGATCCGAAGGCATGCCAGTGTCCAAGTAATGATCCTACGGTACGCCAGGATCCCAAGAATGATCCGAAGGCATGCCAGTGTCCAAGTAATGATCCTACGGTACACCAGGATCCGAAGATCCAGGATCCAGAGACACACCCATCACCCGAAGAGCCCTAAGACTCCCTCTGGAACTCCAGAAGGTTGTCTGGACTTCCAGAGACACACCCATCACCCGAGGAGCCCTAAGACTCCCTCTGGAGCTCCAGAAGGTTGTCTGGACTTTCAGAGACACACCCATCACCCGAAGAGCCCTAAGACTCACTCTGGAACTCCAGAAGGTTGTCTGGACTTTCAGAGACACACCCATCACCCGAAGAGCCCTAAGACTCCCTCTGGAACTCCAGAAGGTTGTCTGGACTTTCAGAGACACACCCATCACCCGAAGAACCCTAAGACTAACTCTGGAACTCCAGAAGGTTGTCTGGACTTCCAGAGACACACCCATCACCCGAAGAGCCCTAAGAATCACTCTTGAACTCCAGAAGGCTGTCTGGACACCCCCAGGTGATCCAGGTTCCCCTACCAGCAATGCCACCACCGAGGATCTCAACGGAATAGGACAATCACCGACAAATCCCCAGCCCAGGAGCTAGAATATTCAGAGAGGAGGACTCCAGAGGCCAAAGAAAGGAGAGGAAGGGCACAGAAGGGTTGGTGAGAGAAGGAAGGGATATGGAAGGGAGGAAATAGAGGATAATTACGTTCGGTCGAAGGGAGATGACCGGAAGATCCATTTCCTCGTACCAAAAGCTTCTTTACCCCCCCCCCCCGTTGAAGATATAAATCAGTGTAGAGCTTTATCAGTCAATATGGGTTTAATTAGGGTTTAGTTAGGGTTTAATTAGGTTAAATAAGGGTAGAGTCACACTCTATAGAGTACATTATACTACTCTTTATTTCAAGCCACAAGAATTACAGACAATAGATGGGTGTCCCGGTATTGGTGGATAGATAGAGCTCTTCCTGCACGATAGATAGAGCCTGGTCTTGCACGATAGATGGAGTCTGGTACTGCAGTATCTACGATAGACAGAGCACGCTCAGCCTATGGCCCTGTCGAAATAAAAAATAGATTCAGATGGTTTAGATTTAGATGGATTTGTATGATTTAGATAGTAAGGCAGTTTATATTATTGTAGTTTCAGAGGTATATATATCTCAGTGTATATACACTGAGAGGTGTATATCTCAGTGTATATACACTGAGAGGTGTATATCTCAGTGTATATACACTGAGAGGTGTATATCTCAGTGTATATACACTGAGAGGTGTATATCTCAGTGTATATACACTGAGAGATGTATATCTCAGTGTATATACACTGAGAGGTGTATATCAGTGTATATACACTGAGAGGTGTATATCTCAGTGTATATACACTGACAGGTGTATATCTCAGTGTATATACACTGGGAGGTGTATATCTCAGTGTATATACACTGGTAGTTTACATTAATCAGTATTTTAGGTATTAAAGTATTCTTGACTGGTGGTGACCAGGTGACCTGCAGCCTTAATGACCCTGGTGTAGTAGATAGACTTTAAACCCCATTAACCAACCAACCAGTCTTAATGACCCTGGTGTAGTAGATAGACTTTAAACCCCATTAACCAACCAGTCTTAATGACCCTGGTGTAGTAGATAGAGTTTAAACCCCATTAACCAACCAACCAGTCTTGATGACCCTGGTGTAGTAGATAGAGTTTAAACCCCATTAACCAACCAACCAGCCTTAATGACCCTGGTGTAGTAGATAGAGTTTAAACCCCATTAACCAACCAACCAGTCTTGATGACCCTGGTGTAGTAGATAGACTTTAAGCCTCATTAACCAACCAACCAGTCTTAATGACCCTGGTGTAGTAGATAGACTTTAAACCTCATTAACCAACCAACCAGTCTTAATGACCCTGGTGTAGTAGATAGACTTTAAACCTCATTAACCAACCAACCAGTCTTAATGACCCTGGTGTAGTAGATAGACTTTAAACCCCATTAACCAACCAACCAGTCTTAATGACCCTGGTGTAGTAGATAGACTTTAAACCTCATTAACCAACCAACCAGTCTTAATGACCCTGGTGTAGTAGATAGACTTTAAACCCCATTAACCAACCAACCAGTCTTAATGACCCTGGTGTAGTAGATAGACTTTAAACCCCATTAACCAACCAACCAGTCTTAATGACCCTGGTGTAGTAGATAGACTTTAAACCCCATTAACCAACCAGCCAGTCTTAATGACCCTGGTGTAGTAGATAGACTTTAAACCCCAGTAATTACCTTAATTAGGTACTTATCTTCTGCCAGCATCGTTCATGACCTTAGGAAGGCCCAGGATGGAATTAATCAGCTCTGAGTTTCGCTTGTGTGGTCCTGGGACCACTGTGTACCATGGTCCATGGACCACACGTAGTATTTGGGCCGCCAGCTCCGCCACCACCTGGGAAATGGGGTGACACTGGTTAACGTTGCCATCTGGACCCACCTGGGGCCGCCTGGGACCATTTGGAACCACCTGGGACCATATGAAACCACCTGGGACCATATGGAACCACCTGAGACAATATGGAACCACCTGGGACCATATGGAACCACCTGGGACCATATGGAAGCACCTAGGACCATATGGAACCACCTGGGATCATATGGAATCACTTGGGACCATATGGAACCACCTGGGAATATATGGAACCATCTGGGACCATATAGAACCACCTTTGACCATATGGAACCACCTGGGACCATATGGAACCACCTGGGACCATATGGAACCACCTGGGACCATACAGAACCACCTGAGATCATGTAGGACCATATATGACCATTTGGAACTATTTGGAACCACCTGGAACCGTCTGGGACCAACTGGAACCACCTGGCATTTAAATAGGCATATTTGCACCACCTGACACTCAGACAGGCACTGTTACACCATCTGACACTCAGACAGGCACTGTTACACCATCTGACACTCAGACAGGCACTGTTACACCATCTGACACTCAGACAGGCACTGTTACACCATCTGACACTCAGACAGGCACTGTTACACCACCTGACACTCAGACAGGCACTGTTACACCATCTGACACTCAGACAGGCACTGTTACACCATCTGACACTCAGACAGGCACTGTTACAACCACCTGACACTCAGACAGGCACTGTTACACCATCTGACACTCAGACAGGCACTGTTACACCACCTGACACTCAGACAGGCACTGTTACACCATCTGACACTCAGACAGGCACTGTTACACCATCTGACACTCAGACAGGCACTGTTACACCACCTGACACTCAGACAGGCACTGTTACACCATCTGACACTCAGACAGGCACTGTTACACCACCTGACACTCAGACAGGCACTGTTACACCACCTGACACTCAGACAGGCACTGTTACACCACCTGACACTCAGACAGGCACTGTTACCACAACTGACCTGTACACTGACACTCAGACAGGCACTGTTACACCACCTGACACTCAGACAGGCACTGTTACACTGCCTGACACTCAGACAGGCACTGTTACACTGCCTGACACTCAGACAGGCACTGTTACACCACCTGACACTCAGACAGGCACTGTTACACTACCTGACACTCAGACAGGCACTGTTACACTGCCTGACACTCAGACAGGCACTGTTACACTGCCTGACACTCAGACAGGCACTGTTACACCACCTGACACTCAGACAGGCCCTGTTACACTACCTGACACTCAGACAGGCACTGTTACACCACCTGACACTCAGGCACTGTTACACTGCCTGACACTCAGACAGGCACTGTTACACTGCCTGACACTCAGACAGGCACTGTTACACCACCTGACACTCAGACAGGCACTGTTACACTACCTGACACTCAGACAGGCACTGTTACACTGCCTGACACTCAGACAGGCACTGTTACACTGCCTGACACTCAGACAGGCACTGTTACACCACCTGACACTCAGACAGGCACTGTTACACCACCTGACACTCAGACAGGCACTGTTACACCACCTGACACTCAGACAGGCACTGTTACACCATCTGACACTCAGACAGGCACTGTTACACCACCTGACACTCAGACAGGCACTGTTACACCACCTGACACTCAGACAGGCACTGTTACACCACCTGACACTCAGACAGGCACTGTTACACCACCTGACACTCAGACAGGCACTGTTACACCACCTGACACTCAGACAGGCACTGTTACACCACCTGACACTCAGATAGGCACTGCAATACACTCTGGAAATCAGGTACCTCACCTCACGCTCAGGATATTTGAGCTCCTGAGCTCCTGTGATCACTGCTAACACGATCACTGCCACCAGCACTGCTAGCAATGTTGCACTGCCCATTCTGGAAGTTTAAATGTTATCTTAGAGCCTCAGAGGGGCGGTGATTCGACCCCCCCCGTGGTAAAAATTGGGCAAGTACAATGTGAGAATTCTCTCGTACTGGTTTAGTGGGGGGTTTGAAGTCTATCTACTATATATAAATATATATTTATGTATTGTACATAAGAGCGTCAGGCCTGGTAGGCAAAGTTCTGGCTTCACACACTGGGTGTCCGTGGTTCGATCTCCGGCACGGATTGAAACAATGGGAGTCTTTTCTTATATCTGCTGTTGCTGTTCACCTAGCAGTAAGTAGGTACCTGGGTGTTAGTCACCTTACACCTGCTGTCACTGTTCACCTAGCAGTAAGTAGGTACCTGAGTGTTAGTCACCTTACACCTGCTGTCACTGTTCACCTAGCAGTAAGTAGGTACCTGGGTGTTAGTCACGTTACACCTGCTGTCAGTATTCACCTAGCAGTAAGTAGGTACCTGGGTGTTAGTCACGTTACACCTGCTGTCACTGTTCACCTAGCAGTAAGTAGGTACCTGGGTGTTAGTCACCTTACACCTGCTGTCACTGTTCACCTAGCAGTAAGTAGGTACCTGGGTGTTAGTCACCTTACACCTGCTGTCACTGTTCACCTAGCAGTAAGTAGGTACCTGGGTGTTAGTCACGTTACACCTGCTGTCACTGTTCACCTAGCAGTAAGTAGGTACCTGGGTGTTAGTCACGTTACACCTGCTGTCAGTGTTCACCTAGCAGTAAGTAGGTACATGAGTGTTAGTTACCTTACACCTGCTGTCAGTGTTCACCTAGCAGTAAGTAGGTACCTGGGTGTTAGTTACCTTGCACCTGCTGTCACTGTTCACCTAGCAGTAAGTAGGTGCATGAGTGTTAGTTACCTTACACCTGCTGTCACTGTTCACTAGCAGTAAGTAGGTACCTGGGTGTTAGTCACCTTACACCTGCTGTCACTGTTCACCTAGCAGTAAGTAGGTACCTGGGTGTTAGTCACCTTACACCTGCTGTCACTGTTCACCTAGCAGTAAGTAGGCACCTGAGTGTTAGTCACCTTACACCTGCTGTCAGTATTCACCTAGCAGTAAGTAGGTACCTGGGTGTTAGTCACCTTACACCTGCTGTCAGTATTTACCTAGCAGTAAGTAGGTACCTGGGTGTTAGTCACCTTACACCTGCTGTCACTGTTCACCTAGCAGTAAGTAGGTACCTGGGTGTTAGTCACCTTACACCTGCTGTCACTGTTCACCTAGCAGTAAGTAGGTACCTGGGTGTTAGTCACCTTACACCTGCTGTCACTGTTCACCTAGCAATATGTAGGTACCTGGGTGTTAGGTGACTGGTGTGGGTGGCATCCTGGGTGGACAAGACAGAAAGTCCTTGATGACGGTATCGGTGACAGTAGGTGTAAGGTGACTAACCCCCAGGTACCTAGTTGCTAGGTGTTAGATGACTTGCCCTTACGTCAAAACTCACCAGGGCCCCCAGGCCAGACTCATGGAACTCTGTGTTCATCAAGAACTGCAAGAAGCCCCTATCACGAGCCTTTTCCATCCTATGGAGAGGGAGCATGGACACGGGGGTCGTCCCACAGTTACTAAAAACAACAGACATAGCCCCACTCCACAAAGGGGGCAGTAAAGCAACAGCAAAGAACTACAGACCAATAGCACTAACATCCCATATCATAAAAATCTTTGAAAGGGTCCTAAGAAGCAAGATCACCACGCATCTAGAAACCCATCAGTTACACAACCCAGGGCAACATGGGTTTAGAACAGGTCGCTCCTGTCTGTCTCAACTATTGGACCACTACGACAAGGTCCTAAATGCACTAGAAGACAAAAAGAATGCAGATGTAATATATACAGACTTTGCAAAAGCCTTCGACAAGTGTGACCATGGCGTAATAGCGCACAAAATGCGTGCTAAAGGAATAACAGGAAAAGTCGGTCGATGGATCTATAATTTCCTCACTAACAGAACACAGAGAGTAGTCGTCAACAGAGTAAAGTCCGAGGCAGCTACGGTGAAAAGCTCTGTTCCACAAGGCACAGTACTCGCTCCCATCTTGTTCCTCATCCTCATATCCGACATAGACAAGGATGTCAGCCACAGCACCGTGTCTTCCTTTGCAGATGACACCCGAATCTGCATGACAGTGTCTTCCATTGCAGACTTGCTCAGCTATCAAAACTTTGGAGTCCAGTCCCTGGACCAATTATGTACCTCTGTAATCTTTTGACTACCGCCCACAGGATGGGTATGGGGTGCATAATAAACATATTAAACTAAAAACTAAAAACCATTGCAGACACTGCAAGGCTCCAGGCGGACATCAACCAAATCTTTCAGTGGGCTGCAGAAAACAATATGAAGTTCAACGATGAGAAATTTAAATTACTTAGATATGGTAAACACGAGGAAATTAAATCTTCATCAGAGTACAAAACAAATTCTGGCCACAAAATAGAGCGAAACACCAACGTCAAAGACCTGGGAGTGATCATGTCGGAGGATCTCACCTTCAAGGACCATAACATTGTATCAATCGCATCTGCTAGAAAAATGACAGGATGGATAATGAGAACCTTCAAAACTAGGGAGGCCAAGCCCATGATGACACTCTTCAGGTCACTTGTTCTATCTAGGCTGGAATATTGCTGCACACTAACAGCACCTTTCAAGGCAGGTGAAATTGCCGACCTAGAAAATGTACAGAGAACTTTCACGGCGCGCATAACGGAGATAAAACACCTCAATTACTGGGAGCGCTTGAGGTTCCTAAACCTGTATTCCCTGGAACGCAGGAGGGAGAGATACATGATTATATACACCTGGAAAATCCTAGAGGGACTAGTACCGAACTTGCACACGAAAATCACTCACTACGAAAGCAAAAGACTTGGCAGACGATGCACCATCCCCCCAATGAAAAGCAGGGGTGTCACTAGCACGTTAAGAGACCATACAATAAGTGTCAGGGGCCCGAGACTGTTCAACTGCCTCCCAGCACACATAAGGGGGATTGCCAATAGACACCTGGCAGTCTTCAAGCTGGCACTGGACAAGCACCTAAAGTCGGTACCTGACCAGCCGGGTTGTGGCTCGTACGTTGGATTGTGTGCAGCCAACAGT